TTTTTGATAGACTTGATGAGCGCCAAAAGAATATGTTTCTTGACATAGCACTTTTCATCAAGGAAAGAGTTGAAGTTTCTTTGACCTAATAAGACAATTATATGGCTCTTCTGTAGATATTGACATAAATGTTCTTAAAGAGAGAGCCCTCACTTCATTGGATCATAACGGCTATATTGAGATGCATGATCTTGTGAGGGACATGGGTGTTGAAATTGCTAGAGAACAGTCATTCTCCAATCCTAAAGGCCCTGTTCGACTGCAAAGTTATAAGGACATTTATGATTTTTTCATTAGTAACAAGGTACTAATTTAATCTATCTATTCTTTTTTTGTAATCTCATTTTCCATGATATTTGGTAAATTTTTATGTTATAATAGTTGTTCTTTTTTTCCCCTTAACGTGCTTATAGGTGACTGAGTCAATCCAATGCTTGTCATTGGACACGAGCAAGATAAAAAGGATTCCATTGACAGCTAATGACCTTCAAAAGATACATAATTTAATATTTCTAAAAATTTATTGGTCTGATTGGAGAGAGCCTTCGAAGTTGATTATTGGTAAGGATATGAGTTATCTTCCAGATGAAATAATTCAGGGTTGTTAGTTGGAAGAATATCCTTTACCATCTATGCCGTTAAGCTTCTATGAGGGGAATCCTGCTGAGCTTCAAATTCCTAATGGTCATATCAGGCAACTTGGGAAAGGCCATCAAGTATGTATCATTTTCTTTATCTAATTCTAAAGACCTCTTTGAACTTTTGTTTTAGATATCTCAGCCATCAAACATTGACCAAATGAACGGTTGATATTTGAGTGCACCCCCTCAATTTGGAAGAATTACTTTTAGCTGTGAGAATTTCAGCATATTGCCCTCGTTAGCCCTAAGATTGCGCAACCCCTATACATATACATATCCGGACCCAAGTTTACCAATCAGCAATTTTTCCAGCTTTATAGACCTTTTTTTTTCCTTTCCTTAAATCCAGTGCTCTTCTGAATGCATTGACTTATTTCCTTTAAAGTCTCCTGTTTTTAATTGTCATGAGTGAAATTCATGGTTAAATTGTGTATTATCTAACGTAACATATTGCTTATTTTTCAGCATTTTCCAAATTTAAAGAAGATCGACATAAGCTGCCAAAATCTCACGGTACTCTCGATCTGTCTAAGACCCCGAATCTTGAATGCTTAAAAGCTGATGGCTGTGTAAGTTTGGATCAAATCCATTCTTCAAACTGCCCTAGTCAAGCTTACCGATTTATGTCTTGAGATATGATGGGCCAGAGCGAATAAACATTGGTGGTACTGTTAAAGGGAGAAAGAAGTTGATCAGGGTTAGTGAATGTGCGTGATTATTTGGATCTTCACAAGTTGTTGTTCAATAAGTGACACAATGAAGATGTTTGTGTCAGGAGGGATCATCTCTGGCGTTTGATTTGAACGAGTGTCAGAAAGTGGCGTGGTGGTACCATTAAGAGAGAAGTGGGTAATGATATTGAGGAGAGGATGAGATTTGAAGTTGAAGACGACGAGTTAATGGCACAAGCGGAGTGTTGTACAGGTAACACTAATGCTAGTGTATTAGCACTTGTTCCATTATTGGAAACGCAAGAGGTTACATTATTCTACAAGTTTCAATTTTGAAAAGCAAAAAGATTCAACTCTCGTAGATCTAAAACTGCGTTTGGACATTACAGAGTCCCATATGAGTAATTATTGTGGTTGCTTCTCTTACTCTCTGCTTCTCATAGATCAACCTCAAACCTCCCAGGCTCCCCTGCTTTATTGATGACCCTCTCTCTCGCCCTTATACTCCGATTGTAGCAATGAAAGTACTCTTCTAGTCCCGAATGTTGAGACTTAATTAATTAATTTGAGTAGATTAAGGATATTAGTTAAATTAGTTAATATGATATGTTTTTTTCTAAAATGCCTTAAGTATCATTCTTAATTTTTTTTCCCCTTTGCACTCACCATATTGGTTAACAAGGGTCCTAATTTTAAGTTTTTTTAAATATAACTTTTTAGTATAATCAATGTATCTTTTTTTAAAATTGTTTAATAAAAGTCTAAATTACATGTTGTAATTTTAATATTTAAAGAAACGTTGTCCGTTGCATTTAATTGAAAGTAGGAATAAAGCAAAATAATTTTTACATATCACATATTTTTACTGGTTTTTTAGTCTATATGTTTTTTTTTAAAATAAGACTTATAATAGGGGACAGAGAGAATATCAAATATAAAACACTGCTAGTTGCTTTTTCACATTTATTTCAATAAATAAGAGGTGAAAATGAAAAAAATGAATCAAAATTAGATAGTGATTTGTCTTTAGGATCCAGTAATTAAACATTCCTACAATCAAAATTATATTTAAGAAACATGATCTTTCCTACGTGTATAAATCATCTGTCTGTGTAGGCCTTGCTTTCACAAAATGAATGCGTACACTTGATTCAGTAATGATGATACGTGAATGCGAAACAAATTATCTACACATCAATCCATAACAGTGAGGCATCAGAAGTCATCATCACCTGCTGCTGCTACTTCTTGAAAACCATAAAAGAAACGAAATGGATTCGTGATCTAAGCGAATGGGAAAATGAACAAAGAAATCTCCAGCCAATTCTTGCCATATATCGATGCTAAAATTAGGCATGTCCCATTTTGTTTCTGCTACAATATCATTATTGCCACCCCATATCGTTGCTTCTTTATCCAGTGAAATTCTTATATCTATGACAGGTTTAATCCTACTGCAACAACAAGATTCTGCAAGTGATTTCAACATTGAAATCCCAGGATTGTCCCAAACTTCACACCCAGTAATTTCACTTTTCTGCAATGTCACCTGTGTCAGTAATGGCCAGCGTGTGATGCTATTAGGAGCTCTGATTAATCTATTATTGCTTGTACTGCAACAGCATTCCATTATTTCTGTCATTATCTCTTCTTCGATCTCCAATGGCTTCCTTTTTCCATGATAATAAGAAGTGTAATCTGTGATCACCTCTTCTGTTATTCTCTTTTCTTCAACCTCTAATGGCTTTCTCACCATCGCTCTGAGTTCGTTGACTACATCTTTGGCATGGATATTCTTAAGCTCTTCATGTTCAGAAAGAAAGTTGAAACGTTCGCTGAAATTGCCAAACTCCATAAGATCTAACCAGCGAAGCGAAGTAACAAATGGAAGCAAAGATGACAATTTCAACTTTGAACTCTCAGTATTGTTCATGTACTGATCTGTTGATAATATCTCTGACAATGATACTGACACGAGTTTAACCCGAAAACCAGAGAAAATATTGCCATCGTTTGAGACAAAGAGCTTCACAATCAATTTATGGAACAACGAGTTGCCAAGATCCAGAAAATTGTAGACAGCTACTAACCCAGAACTTGTCTCCTTGATATTGCCACCAATGCTTATATGTCTCAGGTCTTTGCAATCTCGTATGGATAAATGGGAAAGCTTGCTCAAGCTACTTGAAGAATAAATTTGAGTCAAGTTCACACATTCATCAAGATATACCATACTCATATTGGGGGCTTGAGAGAGATTTGGAAGCTCAGCCAGATCTTTTGACGCAGTCAGATTCATCACTCCTAAATTCGGGAAATGCTGAAAAAGAGAAACAACGGAAATAAGTTACATAACAATTAAATTCTCTATATATATATATTGTGGGGAAATGATATTTATGTACCTGATCTGCATCCCAAAGTTGTTGGAGTTCATTATGAGGCATTTCAAGTTCCATGAGATTCTCTGCACAAAAGCTTAGTGGTACAGATGGCAGAGGATAATCTTCCCAAAAGAAAAACTTAGTTCTTCAGGGAGATTATCAAGACCTTCATAACATACACTTTTGAAGGCTTTTTAAAATCAGACTTGTAAAACTTGAGAAATTTTAAGGCATTCATCTTTCTGAAGGTATTAGCCTGCAATGTCATCTCTTTTGTCTTGCACATATCCAAAGATATGCATCGAATTGTCCCACTCCCCTAGTCAACAAATACATATGTGACACAAAAAGCTTCAAAATTGAACAAGGAAGAGAAAGTAAAAATATGAAAAATGTATAATTGACAACTTAGTACCTTTTTATTGATGAACAAATGATAAATATCGTTGTGTTTCCACAGCCGAATAGGTCTTTCAGGATCAATGATCAATTGTTGTCTACAAATTTCTTGACCCATTTCTCTTACAAGATCATGCATCTCAATTCCACCAAATTGATCCATCGAAATAAGAGATCTTTCTTTGAGGACACTTATCTCAATATATACAGAAAAGTCATAGAAGCCTCTAATAAAGTTTAAAGAAATCTTATAACTTGTTTCGCTCGATAAATGTACCAAGTCAAGAAACACATTCTTTTGCTTCTCATCAAGTCCATCAAAACTCAATTTGAGCACAGTAAAAATATCCTTGTGCGGAGCTTGTTTTAGTTTTTCCAATGCACTTTCCCACTGTTGTTTTGTTCTATTGTACAGAAAGCAACCCAACACTACAAGAGCTAATGGGTTTCCCTGACAATAATCAACAACCAACTTTGATAACTCGAAATAACTTTTAAATGGATCATTTTGCTTAAATGCTTTCAAACTGAAAAGATTTAGAGCATGACCGAACTCTAATTTCTGAACATGATATGTTGCAGATGCAGAAGCATTCTTGAGAACATGCATGTCTCTTGATGTAACAACAATTCTACTTCCTTCTCCAAACCAATCACACAATTTGGTTAAATCTTCAGCTGTTAATAAATTGTCCACATCATCAAGTATCAAAAGAATCTTTTTTGTTGGAGCCTGCGTTTCACAAAAGTGGATTTCATGTTGTAGATGTGAAGGCCCTCATCTTTTAATAATTCTTTAAGGCTTTCTTCCATTAATTTGTTCAGACCAATTCTTGCTAGTTGTTCTCTTACATTTCCAACAAAGGAGGAAGCTTCAAATTGTGCTTTCAAATTGTGAAACACGGCCTTGGCAAGTGTAGTCTTACCTATACCACCCATGCCCCATATTCCCACAATCCGAGCATCAATCAATAGTTCTTCAATTTTCTCAATTTGATGATTAATGCCCACAAGTCCTTCAAGATGACATGATGACGATGTACAGTAGTTCAATTTGCTCAATATATCCTTGACAATTTTTTTAACGAGTTTGATCTCTGGCCTAAAAAAAGCATGTTTAATAGACAAAAAAATTAAGTATAAACTACAAATGCTAGGACAATTGGGTAGACTTATGAAATTAAAATGGATGAGCAAAATCTATAACACTATCAGTTCATGAAAAAGCTCTTTTTTTTCGTACAAGGCAAATGATCTGCACTGGAAGGTACCTGAAATTCTTGGAATCCCATCTAGCGAGGCTTGTAGATTGGATCAAAGCATTTTTCCACTTCCGTAATTTGTTTGGGTTGTCTTTAAATCTTTGCTTCAGTTTAGCAAAGCCATCTCCAAATCTTCCACTTTGTTTGCAAACATTTGATGGATCAATTTTGTAGAAAATAGGCATCACAATCCTTCCAAATTTTTTCTTACATTCTAATATGTAAACAAGCTCATCCAAACACCAAGTTGAAGAAGCATAATCTGTAGAGAAAATAATCACAGATATCTCTGATTCCTCTATCGTCCTTAGAAGAACCGGTGAGATATCTTCTCCTTTATGGAGTTTGTGATCCATAAAAGTTTGAATATTTGCTTTACAAAGTGCTTCATAGAGATAACTTGCAAAATTGTGACGAGTATCTTCTCCTCTAAAGCTAAGAAATACATCATACTTTGTAGTAGGAGGAGTAGGAGGAGAAGAAACCTTTGAAACTGAAACAGCTTCACCTTCGAAACTAAAGATATAGAAACAAGAAATGGATAATTAATTAGTTAATCGAGCAAGAAGATAACGAATATGGGGTTTTTAGAAGCAGTAATTAATTACCTCTCATTAACAGCAGCAGGATGGTTAACATGAAGTGATGAAGGAGAGATAAATCTGATAGCTTTATTAGTTGCTATGGCCAATAAGATCAAGAAACCTTCTATGAGCGTTAAAGAAATGGTCAAATCCATGGGATAGGTGCAAATTTCCTGCTTCGGTCTTCAAATTCAGCAGTCAAATAGCATTAGAATCAGCAACGAGATGAAAACAAAGGGGAGAGAAGAAGGAAATTAACTGGTTTCCTTATATATAAACGAAATAAACCGCTTCTCTTGATTAGAATTAAAGCTGTATTATTTGCATTGCCTAAGTCCGTGATTAAAGAAAGACAAAGACACAAGTTGGTCATTTAAATAAACCATAAATTACTTTATTCGAGATAATAATATAATGACTTATTCTACGGTCAAGAAGGAGATCATGTGGAATCCATCAAAAAGATTTAAAAACTCAATTGCTATTGCTGATGAGTGATCAGTACTAATAATATTTATTTGGACTTCATGGGTTGGTGGATAAAGAAAGGGCAAACACATGTGTGAATATTCATATAACCTACAAACAAAGTTAGAGTGTAATAGATAGATAAATTACTTTAAATGTCACCAATAATTGTGTAGGTTCGCTATGGCATGTGTGCCTTAGTGGCCGTTTATATTTGCTGAAATTAAATAGATATTTTGTAGAAGAAGATAGTAGTACGAAACCTTGTTCTTTTACTACCTCCACTCCTTAATATTAAAGTTAGTTTGACTTTTAATTTAGTCCTAAATATATTTTTAATTCACTTTATCTCTCATATTTATCTATTTTTCAAAGTAGTTTTTGTAATAATTACACATGTTAACAAAGGTTCCATCAAATAGTAGTTTTAGCTAATACACATGATTAGTAAGAGTATTTTAGTAAAGAAAATACTTACTTATTACAAATAACTAGTTTAGTTAATTTTTTTGATCTCCACAAATTAGTCAACTAGATTTTATGTTAAAAAATGGAGGTAGTATTTTTCAAGAAATTTCCAGGCTATAGTTAGCCGTTGTGACCGACATGAACTTTAAAAGGATTGCCCTTGTTTACCTTTCTCAATAAAACGCGTCTTGATCATTTAAAAGATGAAATGGCCGAGAAGGAGACTGAGAGACATTCGGAAAGCGGAGGGAAGCTACCATCATTCTTATATTACACTTCCTCCCGTTAACAAAAAGTTTGACTATTTTATGAGAAATTCTCGAATAGTCTGAGTACCATCTCATTTATACTTCGGCCAATGAAATTACTAGCTCCGATCTTAAATATAAGAATTACTTGATTAATTTAAGTAGATTAAAAAAATAAGTTAAATTAGTTATTTGTTATTAATAGGTGTTGTATTTCTAAAATATCCTTACTAATCAAGTGTATTGATTAGAACTATTATTATTAAAAAGATTAACTTAAAAGAAATAGATGCATATGAGAAATAAAGTAAATTAAGATTTTATATTTAGAACTAAAATAAGATTAAACGAGATCTTATATTAAAAACCTGAGGTAGTATAATATTAAGTATTTGATTGAAATTTATACAAATGTGAGAGGGAGTAATTTATGAGAGAAGGGATGAATTTTAAGAAAGGTATAAAATTACAAGGATGGAGGCATGAAACACATATTTCTAAACTTTTTTTTTTTTTGGCCTGAGCCACCAGTCAGAAACAAAGACCTAGAAAAGTGAAAATAGAACAACAAAAATAACAATCCAAAAACATCATCCGTTATCATTTGTCAACTGTAAATGAAGAGGGGGCCTCACACGCAGTTAAAACGGCCTGACTCGACCCGTTCAAAAAAGCAAATATTTCTAAACAGAAGTTATTAAAATTTAAAATAATAAAACAAAATGGGGCTATGTAAATCGACACATGGGACAAATGAAGTCTACAAATTGATGGATAGATATATTTGATTAATAAATAAAATTGTATATTTTGAAAATCATGACTTTAAAAATTAGAATGCTCTATAATAATGTGTTTAATTTTATCAAAAAATTAATTCTGGCAAAAGATTATCCGTTAGTATAGGAATGGGATACCATATAATACTCGTATAATTACCCTTCAATCTTAAATATAAAACCTATTTTATAATATAAAATATTGGTATAAATTACCCTCCAGTCCTAATTATACTATAAAATGGGTTTTATATTTAGGATAGGAAAGAGTAAAAATAATAATGCTTTCATTATGTGAATTAATAAATTAAAATACCAGATTAAAAAAAAGAATTAATAAATTAAGCAAATGAATTATAATTGCAACAAGCATAACAAGCACACCACACTTGGTCGAGCTCGCCGTCGGACGCCGTTCACCGTTGTCAGCCTGGCGTGGTTGTTCTCCTGCAAGTATTCAAGAAGGTTCGCGCTTTGCCTACTCCCAAAATCCGGTGACAGTGATTTGTTCAGTCCGACTTTGAATCTCTGTTTGAATTTGCTCCCCGCGTCATCTGTTCCCCGCGTGGTTGCCTAGCCTGTGTCGGACGCCGTCGTACGGTTTCTTGCTTTGTTTTAAACTTCTTCATTTTTAATTTGTCTTTCAATCTGGTCGTGTAATACTCGTCCGGTTCTTAATATAAGACCTATTTGTTGAGTTGGTTTTGGTCCTAAATATAAGACTTATTTATCATATTTATCAATTTTCTCTAAATTACCCTTATAGATACTCCTTTAACTATAATCAAGTAGAAAAGAGAGAAGGTATTAAAGAAGATAATTATGGTGTTTTAGGAAAAATATTTTACATTTCTTATAATTAACTAACTTACCTAACTTCTTTAATTTAATCAAATTAGTTAAATGGGTCTTATATTAAGGATCAAAGGAGTAGTTTGAATAGGGACGCCTTTGAATAAAGATTGATTTTTTTAAAAAAGAAAAATTCGATTACTAGTTTTTTGCTTCACTGGAATGTAATCGGCTATTATGTTTCTGCCCTCTTCTTTTAATTACTATCGAATTATATGCTCCGGATTGTTTAGTTGTCCAATATTTGGAAAGTCTAGTGAGATCTTGAGTGACTTAGGTTCATTAACCAGAAGAATTTACAAATAAATTAGGTAATGAAACAATTTAGACAGATTTTCTGTAAATGTGAAGCATCATAAACAAGGCTGTGTTTGGGATCGTCGTTTTGTAGCTAAACATATGCTTCCACCGGCAAAAGCTACTTTTTGGATTTTAAAATGTTTGGATCAATTTCTTTTTGTGATGGATTTCTGGGCTCTAGTCAGCTTTTGAGCAGGAGCTACTTTTTTGTGCTTTTGGGGTGAGGGACTGTGGGATGTGTAGGAGAGAAAGAAAGAAGAAAGAGAATACATGATATTACATATGAACAGTTTTTTTAGGGGGTGACATTCACACGTAAAAGTTGAACAATAAATTGAGGATAATATTTTTTTTTAAGTAAATACTGAACATAAGTTATCGAAAAAAGTAAATACTGAATGTAAAATTGGAGGGGGAAAAAAAAGCACCATGCCATTTTTTCATTTATTTACCTAATGTTTTTTTTTTTGTAAAAAAATATCTTTTTGTTTTCATTTTATTGCTTTGGACTTACCATATAATTATATAATACTCCCTCCGTTCCTTATTATAAGAGATAAATAACCGAAATACGTTGATAAAAAAAAACAGTTAAAATTAGTTAAGAACAATTAATGTGTAAAAAGTATAATTTTTTTCCAAAAAGGCCCTCATTAATAAGGAGAGAGAGCATGAGAGAGAACAATTAAATTATTAAAAGAAAGAGAAGTGAGAGGGAGAGAGAGTGTGAGTTGGAGATAATAAATATGGGTAAAATAGTAATCAACACAAAAAGTAGAGACAACTTGTAAGTGTCTCTTATATATAAGAACATGTCATAAGCATCAAATGTCTCTTATAATAAGGAACGGAGGGAGTATTATTTAGTTAACATTTTATTTTCAATATTTTCTTATGATTGTTACATTATAATATTACTTAATAAAATTTATGTCTTTTTCAGTCATTTTATATCTAAACTTACATTTTCATAATTCGTCTAAATAAGTTTCAGCTTCTCAAAGTGACTTTTCACAAAAGTTAAGACAAATATAAATCACATCATCCTATCTGACTTTACAAAATTCAGCTTAAAAAAAAACTTCTCCCACTGTTTATCCAAATATATTCTAAATCAGACAACGAAACAATTATGTAAACTTCCACTTCCCAATACGACAAATTAGAGGAAAACAGAGCATGTTCATGATGACATTAGCAACAGTGATAAGGATAACCCATTCCCAGCATTAGGCCATTTAAAAAAAACTGTCTTTCGGCCCAACCAATATCTTTAGGCTAAACGCAGCGTTTGATTGAGTTGGCTTCATTCGCTCGAGTGCACCGCCACACACAGACCCTCAGCAGCCGCGCATAGTCACATACTCAATTTCCTCCGCGGCATCCGCCGGCGACAGCTTCGCTGCAACATCACTGCAACCGACGGTAAGAGATTGTTTATCCTTTTCTTCTCTTGATTCTTCAAATCTAAACTGTGCGATCCTTTCATTCATATGCGCTGCTTACTCAAAGGCGCAAAATTACTATCCTGCAAAGTCTACATAGAAGATTGATTCCAATGTGCCAGATAAAATGTGTTGGTTTTTTATTTATTTATTTTCTAGACTTGGTGTGCATTTCGCATTTCTGTGCAAGTAGGGTGAATTTAAGTTGCTTACTGGTTTAACATACAACGGGGTTGGGGCATGCCGCTAGGGAAGCTCTAAATATGAACGGTTGATGTGTGTATTGAATTAGCCTTATTTCGGGTTTAACACACTATAGGAAAGCTTGTCACTTTTTTGGGGGAGAAAAAGAAGTTACAAGTGCGAACATTAATTTTCGGATTTTAATGATCAATTTTTTTTCCCCTCTCATTGTTAGCAAATGTGCTGTTAGAATAGTTGAATAGCTTCATTTATTCCTGCAGAATAAGCCTTGTGAATTGAAGAACTTAATTTCTCAAGAGTAGGAAGAAAGAAGAACAAAGAAGACTGATGTCTACCTTCATTAGACGTGCATTCTCCCACAGAAACCTTCTTCTCCTTCGGAGCTCTACCCTCTACGGTCGTGATCTCTCATGCACTATCGAAAATCCCATCAACATATGTAACTCTAATATTGAGAGGGTATTCAGTGTCCCAGCGGCTAATTTTATCATAGAAAGTCGCAGAGGCTTTGCCAAGGGACGAAAGTCAAGTATGCCTTTCTGTCTCTTCTCCAACTTGAACATCTAGACAGACCATTCCTTCTCGAATCCTGTTAATCTCAGGATATAATTTATGTTGATTTAGGGAGGGAAATTAAATATGCTAACTCCTTTGATTTTTGGTGTTTTCCAAGTGAATGGACTTATCTGCATATGATTGCACAAGTTTTAGCAGTAGGACTAATTTGTCTTACTGCTGTATATTTGATGTTTCCTTTGACTAAACAATAAGCACATGACAAAATTCAGGGAGGGAGCATTCAAAACAGAAAGTTCTCTATGGCTAAAAATGATAAGTGAAAGAAAGTTTGTGATTTTTCGGAACTGAGTGAATCTGGTTTCTCCAACTCTGGTTGTTGTATGTTTTGTGCTAATTGAATTGGGTTAGGGTCTGTACTTGAAGCATAAAGGTTTTAGCAGCAGGAGTTGTAGACTTAAGATCAGAGCAAGGTTGATAGGGTCAGACAGAATCATTTCTCTGGTTGCAATCAACTAACTCCAAGCACTCACAATATAAAGTTGATATGAGATTTTTCTGTAAAAGTATGCCAATGACTTGCCTAATTAAACTTCCTTCTGCGCAAAACATATTGTCTTTAGGTAAGTTAATTCTTAAAAATTGTGTTAATTATTTTATTTATGTAATTTAGAGGATGGAGGTGGTGTTAGTACAATTGAAGTTCCTCCGGATGTTGGGCCTACTATTAAGGCAAACGCTATTTCACAGATGGAGGCAGCAATGTCTGCATTATCAACAGAACTAAACAAGCTACGCACAGGAAGGGCATCTCCAGGTATATTTTAGGGCATCGTTATGGTGAAACTTTATTTTTTTGTTTCCATGATTGTTAATAACTAACTTGTACATGCATGATGATATGTTTCTACAGGAATGCTTGACCATATCATTGTAGAAACAGGAGGGGTAAAGATGCCTTTGAACCGAATTGCTGTTGTTTCAGTCATAGATCCAAAGACCTTATCTGTAAATCCATATGATCTACAGGTACTCTCCTGAAACAGACATACGTACATACATCTATCTCTATGCTAATCATTGTTTGGACCAGTTTTTATTCTAGCTTTCTATGGTTTAACTCTTGCAGTCAGGATCTTATTCAAAGTTTAATTTCTTAAATTTGTTTTCTTTATCATGGACTTCAACAACAACAAGCCTTATCCCACTAGGTGGGGTCGGCTACATGAATCACACGACGCCATCGTGCTCTGTCAACAACCCAATCCTTAGATATGTTATTGACTAGGAGGTCTCTTTCAATGACCTCATTCAACGTTCTTCTCGGTCTTTTCCCCTGCCTCTTTTTATGGGACTCCATCTTGTTTGATCCACCCTCCTCACCGGGGCCTCCAAAGGCCTTCTCTGCACATGTCCAAACCATCTTAAGCGATTTTCAACCATTTTCTCTTGGATAGGTGCCACACCAACTCTTGTCCTGATCTTTTCATTTCGAATTCTATCTTTTCTTGTATGACCACACATCCATCTCAACATCCTCATTTCTGCTACTCCGACTTTGTGCTCTTGTTTTCCCTTTATTGCCCAACATTCACTACCATACATCATAGCTAGTCTTATAGCAGTCCGATAAAATTTTCCTTTAAGTTTCTCAGGTACCTTCTTATCACAAATAACTCCGGTAGCTTTCCTCCATTTTAACCAGCCAGCTTGTATTCTATGAGAAATGTCTCCATCAATTTCCCCATCCTCTTGTATAGTGGATCCTAAGTATTTAAATTTCGATACTTGAGGAATAATTTGTTCTCCCATCCTCACCTCCAGATCCCCATTACCTTGCCTCCCTCCAAAATCACAATGCATATATTCTGTTTTGTTCCTGCTCAAACGGAAACCTTTCGATTCCAAAGTCCTTCTCCATAACTCCAAACTAGTGTTAATCTCTTCTTTTGATTCCGCCATAAGGACAACATCATCCGCGAAGAGCATGGACTTAGGGATTCTTTCTTGAATAGGTTCAGTTAGAACATCCAGAATAATGTTGAACAAGTACGGACTCAGAGAGGAACCCTGATGTAGGCCAATCTTAATAGGGAAGTCCTTTGTCTCCCCTCCAGGCGTCCTTACACTGGTAGTTACCGCCTCATACATATCTTGTATGGCTTTGATATAAGCAACCCGTACACCTTTCTTTTCCAAAGCCTTCCACAATACTTCTCTTGGCACACGATCATAAGCCTTTTCCAAATCAATAAAAACCATATATAGTTTTATAACATTTCCATTTACTTAAGGAATCCATTTATGTTCACTTGTAATCCAGAGCCATTGGAGATCAGGTTTATGTTTCTGTTGAGGTTAATTGCTAAACTAGTATGACAGTTGAATCCCTATCACTTCTACAGACACTTAAACAATTAGAGAACGCCATTGTTTCCTCTCCGTTGGGGTTAAATCCTAAAGTGGATGGTGAAAGATTGATCGCTGTTATTCCACCGTAAGTTCTGAAACTGATGTCTGTCAGGATGAAGTTCATTTGGAGTTTTGGCCATTAAAGAACGATAAAATACTTGCTCATTGTAACTTACTGATTTACTTCACCATGTAATGATCAGATTGACCAAAGAGCATATGCAGGTAAACTAATAATACCTTTTCAATTTATATGTGTTTTCAACTTTTTCCCCTTCAGCTAAAATTTATGGCTTACACACATAATTGCTGCTATATCTCTGTGTTGAGCATTTATTCAGGCTATGAATAAGTTGGTCACCAAGTCATGTGAAGATGCCCGTCAAAGCATTAGAAGGGCCCGACAAAAGGTATGGTGGAAAGCTATTCCATTTCCTTGATCTTTATGTATGTGTTGTTGAGAAAAAGTGGCATAAACAACTATATCATTGCAACAAAACATGTAAAGAACAATGCCCCCCTGAACTTCACAGTACCTGGAGTTGGGTAGATGACTGTACTTGTCTATGGCTTGGGCTGGCCAACAGCTTTGGTCTCCATGTGGCTTTGTGAGGGCCTAATTCAGCTCGCTGCAGGTAGCTCAGGCCGTCATCTTCTGTCATAAATTTTGTCCGAGTTTCCAGTGCTGACAAATTTATGGAATAAATTTTTAATGCTTGACCTTCACTTTAAGTTGTCAATGTATACTATCGGAAATTGTTTGCTTTAAATAATTCAAGGAAAGGCTTCAGCTCAAGTTGTCCAGAATTCTCACTCCTGCTAGATGTTTTCATCAGTTTTTCACCAATTTCAACTTTGGTTTGGTAATCGAAACCCCTCAAATATTTTATGCTACTCTTTTGATTCTTGACATTGAAGAGTTCTCAAATAGGGTACTAGTGGTCACGTTTTCCTTTTCATGCTTTACACTTAAAAGCCCAGCATAATCTTGTCCTAATCAATACCTCTAATGTTTAGCTTTTCAAGTTATTAGAATAGAGAAAGTCTTCAAAATTTCTTGAAACAATGCAATCAGATCTCCAGGCCTGTGTCCAAAGGGTTTTGTACTTACATTGGTTGTCTCCCCTCACCATATATGCGAAGTGGAGCTGTACCATAATTTACTGCAAATTGTGTCTAAGGATGTTATTCTACAGGCAATGGACGCAATCAAAAAGCTATATTCAAGTCTCCCCAAGGATGACATAAAAAGATTGGAGAAAGAAGTAAGTTACAAGCCTATTCCGTTTGAGTGGCCAACAAGATTGCGTAGCTCCGATTCTGATACATTTTCCTGCCTACAGGTTGATGAATTGACCAAAAAATTTATCAAAAATGCGGAAGATACATGCAAGGCAAAGGAGAAGGAAATTAGTCAAGGTTGAGCTCTACTGGTTTTCTGAATTTTTGTGGAGGATTCAACATTTCCCTTCGCCACCTAGGATGTATCTGACCTTATTTAAGCGTTATTTCATTAGTCTTGTGATAGAAGATGAATCCCTTCCGTACCTTCCGCCATGTTGATCTTTGATAGGATCTGTTACCGTTAAGAAAATAACTGCATATTAGTGCATTCGGAGAAAAATTTAAAGAGAAAAGATGAGCGTGATGACTAGAGACGTAGAGTGAGCCATATATATAATCGCACTATTCTGTGTTCTTTCTCTCTCTAAAAGCATAACAGGATATAACTATAGGGAATCCAAATTTGTTGATTTTATTATCAGTGAAGGAAAGATTATTATGAGGGTTAGAAATGCTGAATTGGCACTTCCTCCTTTTGTTGCTGTTAATTTTCATATTGTTTTGACTACGGTAGCCCCCTTTGTTTGGTCCAAACCACGTGGGACAATATCTGCTTGCTTGATTTTTAGTTTGCAGGCACTTTAGTTGGGTGGCAAATTGGCATATCACAATCCTGTTGAGCTTACGTAATATATGTAGATAAACGAGGTACACTAACTGCTTTCAATTGTGTTTTCCATTTTTTAAAATATTTTTTAATCCTATAATTCTGACACAATTAACGAAAGATGATGATAGTTAATATTTTAAATATTGATAAAATATTCTAATGTATTAAGTTTAATATTAAAAAAAATTGTATAAAAATTATAATTTGAGATTAATAATGTTAGGTTTAAAAGACCGAAAACACTTATAAAGTTAAAGAATTAAATTGAAGTTTTACATAAAGTCAGAAAATTAAATTTTTATTTTTGTTCTCTTAATTTGATTGCCTCTTTTGGCGTTAGAATTTCGAAGACAACAAATACAATTTTTTAGATGTTTAGATTTTAATAATTTCAATCAAAAAATTAATTTTCCAATTTTTTTAGAAATTGTGCTAATTAACTTCATTCAATTTTATAAGGCTGTAGTACGAATTTAATCAATCAAATTAATCCATCCTATATCAACTCAAGAACAGCCATGACAAGGCAGAACTTGATACGAATTTGGTCAAAAGGTTTATGAGTCAACACTTCTAACAGATTCCGTTCTGAGTCCATATCCTCTCAAAATTCATTTATTTTCCCTCTTAGAATCCATTCTCCATCCTTAAATTAAAAAATGAATGGCTCATATGTAATACTTTGCAAAATATTATTAAAATATAAATAAATAAATTCAAATTGGAAAAATTTAATCTGGACTATTGACACTCTTAAATTAAAAAATAGATGGTTCATATGTAATACTTTATAAAATATTATTAAAATATAAATAAATAAATTCAAATTGCAAAAATTTAATCTGGACTATTCACACTTGTAGCATAAAAAATTTAATTTACAGAATATTTTAATATTAGTTTTATAAGACATTACATCTAAACCATTCTTTTTTGGTCCAAGGGTGGAAAAGGAATTTTGAGAAGAAAATGTATCCTGAACCTTTTGCTCTCCTCAAACTCAATAATCTCCAATCCTCAATCAAAAAATACCGCTTGAAGTTCAACCCATGATAAGTGCAAGAGTGACCATAGTAGTTTAAATGCAGTTCAATTGCTTCCATATGGAAACTCAATGTTACCTAGATCTCATATATGCATGATTCAATCGTTATATAATAATCTAGATTTTTGTATTATGTATTTGATTTTTGGATCTCTAGCATTAACTCCAATAGAAGTGTGATTCATAAGAATATCACTAATGCATAAAAAAAGGCATTTCGTAACTCTCAGCTAAACAAAGGTCATAATGAATAGAAGTTCTTGCATCAAGGAAAACCAGCATGTGACAGTGAGCTTTATATCTTTGACGTTTGATTGAAACAGCATAATTTTTTTCATATGATACAAGGATGCATCATATAATATAATATATGTATATATATAGCCTCTGATATTTGTCTCTGCCCTTTTAGAAATCATCCACTCCAAAAGTTTCATCCCACTTTGGCAGCTTCCTGATTGAAATATCACCATAAGCATCATGCTGCTCCGCATCCACAAAATCTGTGGTTTTCAAAACCTGCAAAATTGTAATGCAGGAAACAACATCAATATGCGACAAATATATCAATATATATATATATATATATTAAATAAAATCTATATCAACATGCACTATTTACAAGTGATGAATGGTACTCCTCTGGTCCTTAATGTAGAATTTAATTTAGGAGTTAATGTTAATCCTATATGTAAGATTTATTTTAACTGTTTATCAATGTTTTTCCAAATTAACCCTATTGATATTCTCTCAATAATAATTGAGTAGGAGAAAAACAGAAGGAATTAAGGAAGATATTTAAGATGTTTTAAAAAAATATACCATATTAACTAATTTGACTAACATTCTTAATTTATTTAAATTAATTAATTAGGTCTTATATTAAAGATCGGATGAATATAATACATTTTTCAAACTCCCACAAGTAATATGTCTAGTTCTATTATAATTATGAAAATTCTTTTAACCTAACAAAATTTTTCTGCATTGAAAGCCAATCAAACATTAATTAGGTACAATAATGAGAATGTATATGTTACTACTTAACTAGCTTGTTTCTAATAGTTCTGAAATAACAAAAATTGTAAATTGATCTTTTGGCCCTTGAAAAATGTCAATTTAATCAATTTGGTCCTCCATTTCTGAGGCATTTCATTGTGATCCTACAATGTGGAGTTCATTACCAATTCAATACTCATACTAACACCTAAAATGAGGATTCCATTAGTGAGGAAAGTCATTTAGAGGACTATAAACAGACGAGCTCAGAGGATTGAATTAAGAAAATTGATATCTTTCTAAGGATTAAAATATTGCTTAGAAAGACTAAATAAACATACCAATATTTCATAAAATAGCCTTGCACATTCTTTCCTGGTTTTTGAACCAAAAGCTTGTGAGAAGTTAACAACTTCCCCCTCCTTTTGATTCCTCAGACTCAAAAAACTTCTGTGCAAGTTCAGGGCAACCTCCCTGCACATTATTGAAGAAGATAATCAAAATCCAATATCACAAAAAGATACTGAACTAAATTTCATGAATTAACTACAGTCTCACCTGGTTTGTCCAGTCCAAGCACCTGCAGCAAATAAAGATATCAAGAAACAACGCCGTATTAGGCTTCATAAAAAAATAAACAGGAAAAAAAAAAATGTGGAACAAGTTAAAAATGTGGGTTTGCAGGAGCTCTCACGAGATTGGGAATTCTGTGTTTCAAATGAATATGAATCCTGGCACAGAAGTATAAAACATATATAGATGTTAGCTCGTAGTGGTTTCAAGAATATAGAGAACACAAAAGTGACCGAAATTTTAGTTTCAACCAATAAGTAATCATGTCTAAGATATCTAATACTTCTGGAAGAATATTCTGTTATGTATTTACAGAGAAAAAAAATACATCGATTTATAGGGAGTTCTTGCTATTCAATCCCAGAAAATAAGCCTATTAAATGGAAAGGTTTATAGAGGAAAAACGGGGCTACAAAACGGGGGAAAATCTTACTAATAAAAGAAAATAAATGCTGGAATATTATTTGAAATATTCAGCCAACAGTAATAAAAGTACATTGGTTCAATATAGCTTATTTAAACATTTAAACAGATCGTTTACAGGTTCGTGATATGTCCATTAAAGATTATTTACTACAGGATTCGTTAAATAGCAGCTTGCACTTCACAAAAGCCAAGTCTCGAAGTATCATACACATGAAATAAATATTTCCAACAGAATCATGTGTATAAGACTGCAAGGTGAATTGTAAATGATTGCTGACACAAACTAAAGAATAGTACAAATGGCAGAAATTTGAAGATTGTTCCATGATAGTAACGTTTACCTCATTCATCAGATTATGTTCTTCATCCTTTCTCAAAGGTTGGCCTCCCTCTAAGCTTTCATATGAGCTTAATTTTCCCGCACTACACTGCAAGGTTGTTCATAAGGCTATCTGTGATATCAGTTGTCTACAATACAACTTAGTTAAAAGTAATTGTACAGTCATTATATCAGCAGAATTTTGAAGATTACATGACTGTTAATATTTTCCTCATACATCGGGCTGAGTTGTTCATCATTTCTCAGAGACTGCTCTCTTCTCAAGCTTTCATGTGGACTCAAAGGTGTTACATCATTTGGTCCCTCAATTGATTGAATAGTTGCGAGCTGAGGAGGAGTTTTTGGAGAAGCTACTATGTCAGATCCCAATTGATCAAACTTTCTGGGAGTTTTTGTAGTTTGAAAGGACTCTGATATCTTCACTCTCTTTTTGGAGAACAAGGATTGGAGCTCTAATGAATGACCTGCAGAAAAACGATGTTACTAATGGTAGCCAAATTAAAACAACAAATAAAAAAAAAAATGACATTTGCTAACTCACTAGGCAACAAAGAGTCATGGAAGCCCTTAGGAAGAGTAGAAATACGGCGTTTTTGCTGTGCTTTGAGCAGAGAGTGACGACTTTTTCTACGCTTGGAAATTAAATCTCTGGCATCAGATATGTTCTGTTTAACTTCCCTGAAATGGCTCCAGATGCAAAGTGTCCAGTGAGTGTTCATTTGAAGGATTTCAAGGTGTTATTATATTCAGAAAATGCTTAGATAATTGGCAGTCCAAATCCAAACTACATAATTTTCCATAACTGGTTGACTGTAGCTGCTAGGCTACCAACAAAATTAGCACAAACCCAAAGAGTTGATAGATTGAAGAAAGTGGAAGTAGAAAAGACACAAAGGAAATTAGAGTCAGAGAACTGCTAAAGCTTAATACTGAACTTAAAAGGTGGAATTCAAAAGCAGATTTTTTTATTAAACCAGAAAGCCTCAAAACCAGTGACTTTTTTTATCAATTATGATGTGAACATCCAAAGCACAGTATTTTACGATTGATTTGGTGAGTCTTTCAATACGACAAAAAATGTTATAATAGCTCAAACTCCAAAATGCAAACTAGCCTTGTGCACAATGAATCATGCAAAATAAGCAGAGCAAAACTTGTTATACATATAATGGCGGAACAAAACTACAAAATACAAAGATATTGCAAGAAAGAGAGGTCAATAAAAGGTATGCTAATAATCTAAACCGTCACATACTCATTTGATAACACTATCACATCATCAATGACATATTTTCTTTTCCTTATAAAACGAGGACCCTCTCTTGCAGCTGGCGTGGGAATAAGCATACCCTTTGGCGTGGTAGAACCTGACATAATTCACCCTCTCAGGGGGGAGAAGAATAAGTACTTGTTTGTAGAAGGAAAAAAATTATAATCTTGATAAGAAAATTGAAGCACA